TCGTTGCTTCTCGCCGCCACTTAGTTGAGTGCCTCTACTACCAACCATAGTCTGGTAACCCTATAATAATCAATTCTTAATATGTAATGCATCAAATTAGAAAGTATTTTTAGCTTGCAAGGCAAACGAGACACCAAAGGTGCGTGGCCTCGCCCCTAAAGCTGCTTGGGATGTGTTATGCTTAGCTAGCCTAAGCCAGTACATTTAAATGATATAGATCAAAAGTGCTGACAGCCTGGACTAAGCAAGTGTGAAAAGTATGATGGGACTCTAGAATCCCAAAAATTGGTAAAACGTGTTCATAAATTCCCATTAGCATCTCAAGATTTATCACTTATTTATACAGTATATTTATACTTATTGCACTCTCATTTTAAAAACATCATGGGTTTCATAACCACAGCTATTGTTGTGGCCACAATCTATCAAAAGCATGCTATGCAAAAATTAGAAATTGTGCTTTTGAGGCCAAGGGATTATCATAACAGCTAGCTTCCTAGCTGCAGTTACACTAGCTCTTGCATGCTTGCAGAACTGGCAAGCTGCAGGGCCAACTCCTAGCTTGGTCCTGCTTGGAGGCGTGGCATTAATGCAGCAAGACCATGTGAGAGGGAAGCTTCACGTTTTTTCTCTTCTTCTAAGCGCTATATGATGTTATAATGGCACAAATACTGTTGCCTAGATAGATTGAGTGACTTAAGAGAGTTTAGGATCCTTAGACTAGCCATGGACTAGCGAACTACTGCTACAGCACTTTACTCGGGATGAAATTCGAGTAGCTATAACTCACCAAAAAGGAAGATTTAAAGAGTCCCACACATATTAAATAAATAAATAGTCTTGATCTACTGGGAAAGAGTCTCATTTACATCCAGAGTACTACCGCTATTGCTGGGCATTTTCTCGTGAGTTAAAAAGCTTGTACTACCTAGAGCTGTTCTCGAAACATCTCGAAGCAGTAAAGCAAGACTTTTCCTAACAGAAAAGAAGCTCTCACAGGTTTAGAGCACGCGATTGTAAAGATATACATTCGCAAAGACAAAATCTAGCACACAGAATGAATGAATGACAGACAGACAAACCGAGTACCTAGTCCTTGCCTACGCAAAGCTGGGCGAGGCCAATAAAACTATAGGAGTTTGATATGTGTAGTCTCTCTTAATGGACACTCTCTATAGTGTACACCTCCATTTAATGGACAGCACCTAGTGTACCAATTACATTCCTTACTGTATAAAATAACCTCCACATAAGGCCACTCCAATTTGATTCCTTGTTTCCCATTACCCGCCCGCATGGGGCCGCATCGCTATTCATTATTGCGGTTTTGCATTGATTATACAAGCAATTTATACAGCTGATAATGAATAAATTTAATGAAAATGAACAAACCCGCCCGCCCGCATCAGGCCCGCCTCTGTAATGGGAAACTATGAGTCTTATTGGAGTGGCCTAAAGGACACCTCTATATAACAGAGACACTTTCAAAGTGTCCATTATATAGAGGCTAGTCTGTATACATGTACATGCACCACATAATTCATTAAACTCACATGAGGCAATGACATAATGAACTCGTGAATATTAGCAACTTTAGCCACTTCTATGACTTCATCTTCAGTAATGTCATTTCTAAATAAAGCCCCATAACGAATATTATCAGAAATAGACATGTCAAATAAAACTGGGTCCTGTGGTACTAGACTCATCTGTCTCCGGAGAGATGAGATCTCAAAGATATTGATATTGATATTGTTGAATTCTATTGTTCCTGAATCAGGGTCAGGATCATAGAATCTCTCGGCAAGCGATAGTATGGTGCTCTTTCCTGATCCGCTCGGTCCTACTATCCCGAGAGTCTTTCCTGGTTTAACGGTGAGACTCAGGCCTGGTAGTACCACCACACCAGGACGAGACGAGTAAGAGAAATGAATATCATCTAATGCAAGCTTAGCGTAATCTTCTTGAAACTACAATATTAAAATAATAATCATTAATTCCTCTTCTACAAGTGTCGTACATAAAGACATTATTTAACATAACATTTATTGTTATGTTGTGTAGAAAGTTTGAGGTAATTCCGATCAAAATTAATTTTTTACAAATTTTTTACAAATTACAAAAGTACACGTACTTTTGTGGCGATATCCACTCCTTGGTTAGGTATGTTAATGGAGGGTTTTTCCTCCAGTAGTGCTAGTATTCTTGAAGCTGCTATTTGAGCCGACTGGGTATCAGGCAGTGAGCGGATGAGCTCCTTAAACAACCAGCCAGCATACAGCATTGCACCGATAGCTCTGGAGGAGAAAGAAATAATTTCAGTCCATACTTTTAATTAGGTGCACTAATGTTATTGTTTTTAATGTAGCGAAAAATTGGCCCTATTACATCTAGTACTTTTTCTTGAAACATTTTAAGAATGTTAATGATTTATGTGTCATCACTGTAATTTAGTATTTTAAAAGTCTCTAAAATATCCCCATAATTAGTATTAAAAGTGGGTTTGGAGTACATGTACATGTATTTTAAAATTAACTCTCTCCCTCTCTCTCTCTCTCTTTTACTTGAAGATGTCACTAATGTCAGCATAATAGACAGTACCAGGAGAAGTGTAAGCATAAGCTCCAATGATCATTCCTCCTGAGAGTACAAAAGTAGCACAAGATTGAGCCAGGGAAAATAATAAAGACTGGATAATGGCACCTTGAATATCATAACTGAGAGAGAGAGAAAACAGCAAATATATTATAAATGTATACATCACATGCTCATTAATTTAGACTGAGGAACATTTTAGGGCCATTTTTTGGAAAAAACCATGGGCTATAGCCTTGGGTATTTTTCAGATTTTGGCTCATTTTTAAAATGGCCGTAACTCAAAAAATTGAAGTCAGAATCACCTCAAACTTTCTACACAGCATAAGTACATCAATATGTATCAGAAAATATAATAAAAATTTGGAGTAATTTTTTGGCCATTTTTTGGAAAAACCATGGACTATAGCCTTGGGTATTTTTCAGATTTTGGCTCATTTTTTAAAATGGCTGTAACTCAAAAAATCGAAGTCAGAATCAGCTTAAACTTGCTACGTAGCTTAACGACATCAATATATATCAGAAAATATAATAAAAATTGGGGGTGATTTTGGAGCCATTTTTTGGAAAATCCATGATTTTTTTCTGAAAATTTGATAATTAAAAAAATCCAAATATTCTTTCTTCCTTCCCCAGTCTCTTACTGATAAGCCGGTTTAAGCTGATCCTTGTACTTCTGTAGCAATCTCTTCTCAATGCCAAGGGATATTATTGTATAAACATATCCAGAGGCGTATTTAGGGGGGGGGCTGAGGGGGCTTGAGCACCCCCCTCAGGGCTGGGCTCAGAAAAAATTACTGAAGTCCTGGACTCTTGCATCACTACCAAGCCTCTTAACAAAGTTATCTAGCCCCCTGATCATGGTTTCAGCAGTTTCCAGTGCTTTAAGGAGCAATCAGAAGTACCAGTAACATAGCAGTATGCTTGAAATGATCTTGGCCCCACCCCGTAATTGACGAAAATGCAGGAAAAGGCCGTTTTACCGCCGTAAAAGTAGGTGTGGCCAAAATCGCGGCGCGCTTCGCGCGCCCTCAGCACCCCCTCCCCCAGTTCCTAGATACGCCCCTGCATATCAATACAGTCTACACTCAGACGGTACACTTCTCTAAACACCGGAAGTGTAGGAAATTGTATGGTTTCCACTATGTCAGAATTGGTAGCCACACTATTTTACTTATTTCTCTTACATAGATAATTTAACAGTGCTGTAACTAGCACCATTGAGAGAGGAGAAGTTGCTAGTCATAAAGAATCAAGTTTGGTTTTCATGCGCGAAGTTTAAACAAAGATATGTTGCCGTGAAAAATTTTGGTTTAATAAAAATTGTTTGACTTTGATTTTTGTGCAAATCATTCACAGGGGTGCTGGATCTTTGCCAAAGGGTCTGGTACTGTACTTGCCTTTGCTTAATACATTGTGATGGTTCTTTCGTGCTGGGTCTTATTTTATTCAGGTAAATTTCCCCTCAAAGTTGATATGTTCTTCTAGATTTCATCTAATTAAGAGCCTGTACCTACACGTGTTTCAAATTTTGAATGATTTTAATTATTTCATGACCAAATTGACAATGAATTTAATTATATCAGTGATGTAACAGGAAGTGAAGCCATAAAAGATCTTTACACAAAAAATGTACCGTCTGAGTGTAGGCTGATAGCTTCAATGGCTGTCTTCAGACTCCTCAACACAAACAGATTAGTGAGTGTCAGCTGTAGAAATCCGAATAAATATCCAGACTATATAAAATACTACTAAATGAGTAATGTAGTTAAGGAAGCTAGCCCCATGTGCTATGAAGAATAACAGTGAGACCTAGAAAATAAAACCACAAAACATCTGCAACAATAGTAAATAGTTGTGTAACTCACAAACACTCCTTCTGTCTAGCCATTTCAGGGTGTGTCAGTAGAGTAGACTCAGTACTAGATAATACTATGGCCTGGTTGGTAAACTGATAAGGGTATAATAGATCTATACTAGGCGCCGCGCTTATACGGCCTGCTGACTAAAAGAATTCTGCCAAGATTGCTCGAGATTGCTGGATCTGTGATTCTTCAAAATTACCAGTAGTCCTTGCTGGTAACCCTTTAAGACACTCTTCAATCTGATAGATTTTATTTCTCTGTATGCCACATGTTTTGAGTCTTGTAAGATAAATAACAAGCCCGTTGTGAACCCCTCGTTTAACTAGCTCGGTTAGCTCGCTGAAGAGACTGTCGTGGCCTCTGATCGAATAGAAGGAATAATGGAAGGAGTGGAACTTGAAGGACAGTGTAGGCATGCATTTGAAAGAAGAGATCGCGAAGAAGCTGTTCGATTACTACGTTTACAACCTTCTTATGCATCGTTATATCGGGACCTGCTTTATTATTCTATAAGCAATGGGTGGTTAGATATTACAAAAGATCTCATCACTAACTATCACTTTAATCCAAATAAATACTACCATGGTGAATCCTGTCTTTATACTGCTGCTAGAGGTAATCACGTTGATATAGTTGAATATCTTATTAAAGAGTGTGGCTGTGATCCAATGATGAGTACTACTAATGGCTATGGCAGTGTCCCTTTTCTTCATTATGTAGCTAATGTAGGATTACTAGATGCCTTGAAGTGTATGGTCATAAACATCAATGGTCATATAATGGATGAACAATATCGTGATACTGATGGTCGGACTGTTCTTCATCGTGCTGTTAAACACATAGATGTTGTAAAGTACCTCATTAATGAGTGTAACTGTGATATTATAATGACTCCTGATAAGACTGGACAAACACCTCTTCATCTTGCTGCTGATCGTGGTACAGCTGAAGTTATTGAATGCTTTCTATTAACTGGTAATTGTGATCCTTTGGGTAAAAACAATGATGGGCAGACACCATTAGACCTAGCTATAGAGAGACGGTATGATAGTGATACTGTCATTGATATCTTCACGAAATTTGGTACCACTAAAATATCTCATCCAATTGATTCTTATGTTAACGTTCTCCTTGTGGGTAATCCTGGAGCTGGTAAAAGTACTCTTAGTCATGCATGTCATCAATGACAAAGCTACTGGTTTTATTGCTCTTGGTTCTATTAGAAATGTCAAAGGAGTAGTACCCTGTACTGCTGGAATCATTCCTTATAAACTACAACACAGGACACTGGGTAACATCATTCTTCATGATTTTGCTGGTCATTCAGAATACTACTCCAGTCACAGTGCTGTCATTGAGAATCTGTTACATGGTTCTGGTGGTGTGTTCCTGATACTAGTCAATATATTGGAGAAGGAAGCAGTGAAACAGCTTCATCAGTGGCTAACAGTTGTGAGAAATGAAGCACACAAAGCTCTTAATCAATGCCATGTTATTGTAATAGTCAGTCATGTGGATAAGATTAGTAATCCTGTTGAAAGGAAAAGAAAGGAAGAAATAAAGGAGATTATTGTAAGGGAAAGTTGTGATAGTATCTTCTTAGATTGTCGTAAGCTTGGTGGGAGTGGTGTGGATTCCTTCTTTAAAAAGTTGTCTAGTGCCTGTGAGTCCATTCGTAGCACAAGAAGAAATAAATCCAATCTTTATGATCATGAAATGTACCGACTACTGGTGCAAAGGAAAGAGAATATACTGACCCTCTCTGATGTAATGTCTGTTGGTAAGGACAATTATGTTATACCAGATAAGAGAGAAGACATCTTGGATGCTCTTCATTCGTTGCAGTCAATTGGTTTGATCAGTGTTCTTAAAAGTGAAGACAAGGTATGGGTTGTTGTGAATAAGGGTATATTACTAACTGAGGTGAATGGGACTCTTTTTGCTCCGAAGATATTCAAAGAACGCGTTGAAATTGCTAGCAATACTGGTGTTGTAAGTGTGTCTGATCTGACTAGACTCTTCCCAAAATATGATCCTGACATGTTGATCTGTTTCCTGAAAAACATGGAACTCTGTCAAGAATTGGATCCATCTTTTTTAGAAATGACAAACTTAATAGCAGGAGATAAAAAGGAGACAGGAGACAGTGCCTTAGAGACTCAAAGAAGAGGAGGAAGGTTTTTGTTCTTTCCATGTCTTTTGTCAACTGATAAGCCTCAAAAAATGACTAGTGAAGTGTACCAGTTTGGTTGGTGTCTACAGTGTACTAGAGAACATGATTTCTTTTCTCCTCGATACTTCCATGTCCTCTCATTACATCTTGCTTTTAAAATGGCTCAACCTCAAGAAGATGACAAGTTAATGCGACGTTGTACATTTTGGAAGAATGGACTTTATTGGTTTAATGGTCATGGTGTAGGATCACTGGTAGAGATTGTGGATGAGAGCCAGTGTGTACTAGTAATGATGTCCTGTGAGAAAGGTTACAGTGACAATATGGTGTCCCTAAGAAGAGATGTGATAGGAGAGGTAATGAGTGTTTATAAAGAATCCTGTTCCAGTCTAAAGGCAAAAGAGTTAGTTATTGATCCTAAAGAACTAGCCTATCCTGTGAATACACCAAGAGAAAGGACATTGCATAGTGTAAAAGATATACTGTCTGCTATTGACAAGAGAGAAGAGTTTTTAGTAAAGTCTGATGGTACTAAAGGTAAAAAGGTGAAGGAGATCCTACTTGATGAATCATTATCAGATATTAGTAACCTGTCACTATTAGGAGGACGTGATATTAAGGTAAGAAGGATTATTTGATTGATATTAAACAATTGATAAGATATCAATTGTTTAATTGATATCTTATTATAGGAAGTATTAGGAGACACTTATACTCCAACAGATTACAATAAAGTTCAAGATCATAAGCTACTAGGTATTTGGTAGTTGATACATACTATGTGTTTAAGTTTGCTTTTATTTTAGATATTAAAGATCTTGATATTGTCATTGAAGAATTGACAACAAATCAACACTTGCCCTGTGCTGTATGGCGTAGACTAGGTCTACACTTAGGATTATACCATAAGCCTAGACTAGTGGATATAGATGAGAAGCATGGAGGAGATCCAGTAAAATGCTTTTATGAGTGTATGTCTGCCTGGTTAAGAGAAGAAGATAAAGTGAGAGAGAAAGGACGTCCCAGTTGGTCATCATTAGCTACAGCACTGGATACAATAAAAGAGAAACCTATTGCTAGTTACATTAGAGATAAATATTGTAGTGCTTCCTCACAGCTAATTATATGTGAATATTCATTGTAACTGCTATTAGTTTTTATGCTTATGTAATGTGGCTACTCGTAGGTGTTAAAAGTAATGTTTTTCCAAACAAAAAGTTGATAAGAAGAGAGAGAGACAGAGAGTGTTACAATCATAGAAGAAATCACAATCACATGCTCCTTACAACTGGGCAAAAACACATACATACATGAAACCATAAAGTATAATGACAACAAGATAACAATACAGTAATGATTACAATCCAATAGTATTACAGTACCAGTGACTAATACTCATTACATTTATAAAGAATCCTGTCTCAGTCTAGAGGTAAAGGCGGATTTACAATATTACGCTAGTCCTGACGTTACGTTGACGCTGGAATAGAATCTGGTTCTATTCCAGCGGAAAGCATGCGTCAAAAGGTCAAATCGCCCACGTTTTTGATTAAAAATTGACGGTACGCTGGCCTAATGTCATATTGTAAATCCACCTTAAAAGATCTAGTTAGTTACTGATCCTAAACAACTAGCCTATCCTGTGAATACACCAAGAAAAAGGATAGTGTATAGTGTAAAAGATATACTCTCTGCTATTGACAAGAGAGAAGAGTTTTTAGTAAAGTGTGATGGTACTAAAAGTGAAAAGGTGAAGGAGATCCTACCTGATGAATCATTATCAGATATTAGTAACCTGTCACTATTAGGAGGACATTGTAGGAAGTATTAGGAGACACATGTACTCCAAAAGGTGCACAGATCAGTGAGTCCAATGATGATCAAGAAAAAGGTATAGGTAAAGGTATAGGTAGGTTTAACATTATTTATTTATTTTTTATAGTTATATTGACTATTGGGAATCTGGTAGATATTGTACGAGTGTTAAAACATGGTCACTTTCAGGCTATAAGATGGTTTGATCTTGGTTATCGTTAGCTAGTGCACTGTATACAATAGAAGAGAAATCTATTGCTAGTTACATTAGAAATAAATATTGTACTCCTTCCTCATAGCTAGTTTAATGAGTTCATTCATTGTCAGTGTACTAATTAGCTGAGCTGTCATCATGTACTAATTTCCCTATCTCTATAACTAGAATTATTACTGATAGCATCAAACTATGTTTATTATTATAACTAA